TCACAGTTCCTAGCCAAAACTTTGAAACATAGTAAATATTAAATAAGTGTTTGTGAAATGAACAAATGAATGTTGGAACATATGTGAAAAGGCTCTTGATATCCTTTTTACTTTGTGAAGACGGTAAAGAATCTGCCTGCAATGCAGGAGACACAGGAGATGCGGGTTGAATCCCCTGGAGAAGAAAATGACAGCCCACTCCAGTGTTCTTGCCTGGAGAATCCCATGGACAGAGGAGCCTGGCGGGCTACACTCCATGGGGTCACAAAGAGTCAGACACAACTGAAGAGACTTAGCACGCACGCATACACACACACACACATATATATATACACTTATATGTGTGTGTGTATATATATATAGATACACTCCAAGGTTAACAATAAGTAAAATGATAGAAATATAAAGAAATTAAAAATATCTAAGGAAAACAAGGCAAAATGCATCTCTCTTATATTATCCTTAGCAGCACCAAATTTCTAGTTTAAAAAGAAATGTGTGCATATAATCAGTTTAATATTGAATTATAAATATAAAAGTCAATGAATAAAATTTTTAAAAATATTGAGTATACATTAATTTGCATATGAGTTGCTACTTTCATCCCCAAAGGTGCTGTTCAGTCTTTTTTAATCACTAACCATTGCTTCGCTGCTTGTCAAGACTAACGCTACCAGCAATATAAGTAATGCTGTCTAAAAAGATATAAAACTGAAGGTGCTTAGAGAGTTACTCCATTTTGAATACCTATCAAGGCAGGATTTTTTTTAAATGCAGTACAGTATTTTCCTAGTGAGTATTAATGGCTGTTCCTATTACCTATTCAATAAAAATTACATACTTAAAATTATGCATGAGATTGTAGTGAACTGTCAGTACAATGATTAAAAAAAAAACTCTAGTTATATCATAAGGATCTTAACTCCTGGTGTACAATCTTATATTACAAAGGATATATTAAAAATAAGGCAGAGAAAAAAACTTAAATGGAAATGTTCCATTATTAGAAGTGAGTTTTTTTGGTTGAAATCCCACGAAGACTTTCTTGTCTGAATTTTCTTTGAAATTTAACACTTTCTACTTAGAAAAAAAGTGGCCACTATAATTAGCCGTGTTTCCATTTTAGTAGTGAACTTCTTCACCTTCTCTTAAATCATATAAAGATATGAGGTCATTGGGGAGATAAAAGATTTACTCAAACCAATTCTCTGACCTGGATATCATCAGTTTGACAATCATAAACCCACAAAGAGACATTCTTGGAATTTTTTAAAGGCTATGTAAGAATTTATTTTTTGTGGGAAAAGACAGGGTTTTCTCTCATTTACCCATTGGAATGATACTATAGAATGCACTGGAGTTAAAGAAGAGGAGAAAAAAATTAACATTATAGTAAGAAGCATGACTGCCAGTTTTAGCATATGCATGTGTGTACACACAGACACACACACACATCCTCTACTCAACAAAGTAGGATGAAGTGGAGGTTTAGTGACACACACTTTCTGGTCATAATATCATCTCTGCCATTTGCAAGCTATATGGCCTTAGAAAATTGACCTAATCTCTCTTAGTTTCATCATCTGGAAAATCAGATAATACCCTTTCTATAGGAGTGTAAGTACAAGGACAGATGTACAAAAAATAAAGTGTTTGACACATGGTAAAGTGAAAGTGTGAGTCGCTCAATTGTGTCCCACTCTTTGCAATCCTATGGACTGTAGCCCAGCACACTCCTCAGTCCATGGAATTCTCCAGGCAAGAATACTGGAGGGGGTGGCCATTCTCTTCTCCAAGGGATCTTCTTGATACAGGAATCAAACCTGGATCTCCTGCATTGCAGGCAGATTCTTTGCTATCTGAGCAATCAGGGAAGTCCAGACACATGGTAAAGTTTCAGAAACTCTGTTTTGTTAATATTATTATATCACTTAATGAGAATCACTTAATATCACTGTAGCAGTTTGTTGATATTTTCAGCACAGTTAATGATTTCAGCAGCTTTTTCTTATCTTTGTATAGTCATGTGATTTGGCTGGTATTTGTTTGTTTGCTTTTAAATTTTTCCATGTCAAATCTTAATTGCATGAAGGGATATCAGTTTTTAAAAATTTATTTCACATATGCTTCCATTTTTTTCAGCTTGATGATCAGCTTCTCATAGGGTATATTTTTACATGTGCTTAAGAAAACTATACTAAGGGACATATGAAAGGAATTTAATCAGATTTACTACAGTTGACCCTTCAAGCAATAATATTTGACCCTCAATAATAAATTCACATTGCAAATAAATGTAGTAAGGTAAATTGTAGAAAGTTATCTTCAAAATGGCCTTTCTAAAGTGATTTATCAAAGGTATGTATAATCAGATACCTAGTTCTCCAAAAAAAATCATAAAGGGGAAGTACTCACAAAGAATTAAGAGCTGACTATGATTTCTCTTACCCATTGCTCTATTTCTGTTAGACGAAGTGTAAATCTCATCCAGGTACTTAAACTCTCCATTTTTTCATTAAAGGATGAAGAGATGGCAAGTGTGTTGATGGAAGGACATGGTACTAGGAAATATTTCTATAAATGGAAATGATGTGGACTTCCCTGATGGTCCAGTGGTTAAGGAGGGCTCCCCAGGTGGCTCAGTGGTAAAACATCTGCCTGCCAAGCAGGAGACAGAGGAGACGAGGGTTCGATCCCTGGGTCATGAAGATCCCCTGAAGGAGGAAATGGCAACCCACTCCAGTATTCTTGCCTGGAGAATCCCATGGACAGAGGAGCCTGGTGGCCTACTGTCCATGGGGTTGAAAAAAGTTGGACACAACTTAGTGACTAAACCACCACTACCACCAGTGGTTAAGACTCTGTGCTTCCAGTACAGGGAACTGGAGTTCTAGCCCTGATCAGGGAAGATACTGCTTGCACGTGGTGTGGCCAAATATTAAAAAAAAAATTTTTTTTGATGGAAATGATGTGACTTTGCAATACTCATTCATCAGAAAACTAAATCTAGGGTGAATTCAGTGGCCTGAAAAGGAAATATTTTTCTTTCTTTAAGTGCAAAACATATACATTTCACATGGCATCCCACAGCCCATGTAATAAGCACCTCCTTAGAACTTGGAGCTCTAAGTAATATCTGGACTGCCTTCCTGTCAACCTTGCTACTCTCTGTTCATTTGCCAGTGAAGATTTTATGAATTCAAATTTGTGTGTTTATTTCCTGAGGGAATTCCTTGTCATAGCAAATGCAGTCTTTTAACCCTGGTTGTTTACCAGTGCCTCCTGAAGAGTGGCGTCAATTATTTGTGATCTTTGGAATTATTTATTTTCAGTTGAAGACTGTGTGCAAGGAGACCTTCCCCTGTTGTCCGGTGGTTAAGACTCCAGGCTTCCACAGCAGAGGTCACTGGTTCATTGGTTCAGTCCCTGGTTGGAAAAATCTGTGTGCCACTGAGGGCAGCAGGGAGAGAAACCTGTTAGTGCTAATCATTTGCTACATCCATGAAACAGTGGTAAAATTATTGACTATTTGTGCTCATTGTCTGAAGGTACAGAATTTAGACTGGGTGCCCTTGAACATCATTCTAAGGGAAGAAGGAAAGATCCAACCCTTACCAAATACACTCTGATTTTGAACTTGCTACAATTTTGCTGTTAAAAAAAAATCACATTTAGAACTTCTTTATCATAGATAGTGAGTTAATACTTATAATTTTAGGTTTGTTTCTTCCACAATTATTGTCTCTAAAGGATGTGTGGGTGTGTGTCTGTGTGTTGCACACATACGCATGTAACACATAGAGTTAATGTGGACTCTTTTAACCAAGTGGCTCCCTCCCACTGCTATGTATTAAAAGAACTGAAGAAATCATCCTTCTCAGGAGCATGTGATGAGCACCCACAAGTTATAAGAAACCCTACTGTGCCATATAAGATTATAGTAATTTGGTTCAGAGGACACCCTGCTTGGATGAGCTGAGAGAGCAGGGACACACACAGTGGAGAAAGGAAACAGTGGCATGAAGACACGTACACACAGCAGTGGTGGGAGGCTCGGGGTAGGAGAGGGAGGAAGAGGGATACAGGTTAATCAGGAATTGCTATCTGGGGAAGATTGCCCAGGCCCTGACTGACGCCTGACATTGATTAATCGATACTCCATCCTACTGTTTAACAAGTGTTCCATCCAAAAAGTCTTCCGTAATATTTAACTTCACTTCCTTCAGCTTCAATTTATGCACATTTCTTTGGTCCTCTCTTCAGGAAAGCTAGAGAGCAGCCGGTGGCAAAGAACTTTATATTCGTGTATCTAAAGAGGGTGTGTGTGTTTGTTTGTTTGTTTTCTTTGGTTGTGTTATGTTTTGTTTGGTCTTGTTCTTTGGTCATACGATCAGGCTTCAGTCCTCTCCAGACTAAGGAAATCAAATTTTTAAAGATAACTGAATCATTCCTCAAAAGGCCTATTTAATTTGACTGCTTAATAATTAATCAGCCTTGATCCTGTGCTTTAAGTGCTTACTCTTTGGAAAGAAAGTTAGTCATTTTGACAATGATGTGGAAAGATTTCTTGGGTTTCTAAATATCTCGAAACAAAATTTGGGATTCAGAGCCAAAATAAGAAGTGTGTGTAGTAAAATGGACATTAGGGTTACTGAGATTATTGGAGTTAACTATCATATTTATCCATATTGACCACATGCCTAGATCATACTTCTTATAACTGCATTTTACCTTTCCTGGAAAATAGCAAGTATCTTCTCTGTTTCTACATAATAGTATTATGACAATTCAAGTAAATTGGGGATAATTTTTTTAAACTTTCGTATGTGGCACAAAGACTTCTATTTCTTTTCTCTGCACTGAAAAATACTGCGTGCCCCTCTGTACTGCATAGAAATTGATCTGCAATACATGTGGAGTCTCCAAGGGTATATTTAAATTTAGTAATTTTATTGCTAACTGTGAAGTTAATCTGCACTGTATGTGCTCTTTTTCCCCAGGAAACTGAAGTAGCAGTTCAAGCTAAACAGCCGGATGTGGAAGGGATTTTGTCTAAAGGGCAGCATTTGTACAAGGAAAAACCAGCCACTGAGCCAGTGAAGGTAATGAAGCAACCTCTAGCAATATCCATTACCTCATAATGGGTTATGCTTCCCCTATTTATAATCGATGAAATAACTTGTAAAGAAATATTGGCCATCCTACAATAGCAGAGGCAGAGCTGTCTTTTTGATCAACATATCCTATTTATATATTGTGATCTTAAGGCTATTAACGAGTCATTGCATTAAAGGACTCATTTCTGTCCTGGTGCGCTGCCATCAATACAAAAAGTAGTCCCACCTTCAAGGTAGATTAAATTCTTTGAGGCTTTATTGCATTGCTTGCCAGGCTTGATGCTTTTCATATAGTTTGGCTTCATTCAAATCAAGCTACTGCATCATATTGTCTGTCTCCAGCAGCTGTAAAGAATCACAATAGGGTCCATGACCTTTCTTTTCTCTGTTGCTCTTTCTTATGAAAGAGGAAAATCGGCGTTTGGGCATCAGTACATTATTGGGTCAAGAATTTTTAGTGAAATGTCGTGTAATTGCTTCTCTCTTTGATAAAAAAAATAGCTGGCCTGAGAAAAAGGTTTCTACTTCTTTCCTTTCCTCGTGTGCATTTTGGAGCATGGGACACATTTATTCACATGAGGAGAGAAATGGAAAACCAGTTCCGTTTTCAAAAAATAGGTAATCAATGGCCTTCATTTTCAAATGAGAGTCCAAGTGATAAATAGAAGTTAGGTATAGGTTACCTTATTTTCTGTACCTGACCAAAATTATAATGGTCCCCATTATGATGAAGGTTCCCGAGAGCCTATAATGGTGGCTGTTTATTGATCAGTCCTGGCTTCTCTAGCTAATGTTGCAGGCTGAGATTTAGTGAGCCTCACCCTCATGTTTAAAACTGCTCTAAAACAGTGCAGGTCAATAACCTCATTATACAGAACTAGTTTGTCCTTGCAAATAACATTACCATGACTTACACTCTGTCTCCAAGGTCACTGCTTATGCTTGGCCCAAGATTCATTTCTAGAAAATTGTTTGTTTTCCTTACAGTTTACAAGAGGGTTTTTCTTAGGTAAATTTAAAGGTTTGGGCTAAATGTAATATCCAAACAGCAGGTGCTGAAAGGCCCAGATTTCCACAGTAGATATCCATAGACATTTATACAGGAATATATTGTCCCCACTCCTAACATCCTCCCAGAGTAATTTGCATCCAGTCCAGGCCTGGAATGATCATTTTCATAAAGTAACAACGTGTATAGTTTTAGATTGGACAGCTAGAAAAGGTCCTGAAAGTAGCAAGTTTCAGGGTTTCTTCTGATGCACTAGAGAAAGCCAGTCCCAAGCAGCCACCTTTCTTGATTAACAGAGTGACTTTCATAGCAAGCAATGAGATGGACAAATGGACCATTTTGTAGATCTGCTCTGCCTACTCATGCTTGATCCTCAAAGAGTTTATGCAGGATTTGACATAATTGCTACAGATTACAAATATGCCTTACAGTTGGCTTTTGCTTTTGACGCTATGCAAAAAAAGAGGCAGAGTCTTCATTGAAAGTCAATGAGAAAATTTGTTTCCATTGTATGTACACCATCCAAACCTTGAGGCTCATCAGTCATATCCTCAAATTCTGGGCCACCACGAGTTCAGAACTGGCATCTGCCATGTCTTGGAGTCTCTAATTTCTACTGCAGAAATTAGTGACAGAAGAGAGGGATTACCTTCCTGAAATGAGAGAGCGGGGAGGTGTTAACTTCCTTGTCTTTCACGTCCCTGGAAACCATTGTGTAGAGTCAGCCCTCTTCTTTCTTTTCTTTTCCCTTCCTTCACCATGTACTTTCAAATCAGTTCATGGCGGAGAAGCACAGCTTAAATGAAAACTCATCCCCACTCTGCCATTTACCCCTTAAGTTGGGAGAGGAATCACCATATCAGGTTCATAGTGGCCAAAGGGCAAAATTGATTTGGGAGATCAGGAGTGAGGAGAAAGAGAATATTCATGTGCAGCTTTTTTTTTCCTGTTTATTTTTTTTCTTTATTAGTTGGAGGTTAATTACTTTACAGTATTGCAGTGGTTTCTGCCATACATTGACATGGATCAGCCATGGATGTACATGTGTCCCCATCCCGGTCCCCCCTCCCGCCTCGCTCCCCACCCCATCCCTCTGGGTCTTCCCAGCGCACCAGCCCCGAGCACTGGTCTCATGCATCCTCATGTGCAGCTTTTGAAAAGGGCCATGACCTTGGAAATTCTTGAAGATTAGCCGGGCCATCTGGTAGCCTGAAACACTAGAGGCTCAGATACTCCCTCATCATTTAGGAAAAAAGCACTCTAAAAGCTGACGAATGTTGGAAGGGGAAAAGGGTAAGAAGCTAAGATATAGAGTGGTTTCCTCCTGTGTAATAACAAAATATTAAAGGATGCTATCTAAAGCTGACAAAAAAGAAAAATGAAGACAAAAAAAAAAAAAAAAAAAACAGAAACAAGCAAACAAAAAAACTACCTCATCCTCCAAAACCTGGAACCCAGCAATACAAGGTACCAAGCCAGGGGAGCTGTTTAAATCTCTGCATGGATCAAAAACTTCTTTTTAAAGATTAGGGATAATTTTTCTAAAGGGTGAGCCATCACTCTGATAGTACATAAATCAAGCCTGCATTTAACTTCGACTTCATATATCAAAATTTTAAAATTTTACTATTCCTAATTTCTTGCCTCCTTAACTTTCAGGTTTCTCGCCCTTTAATAGAAGGAGGCAGGGTACAAGTAGCCTGCAATACATTTTCATGACAAAAGTTTGGTTTTTGTTTTGGGGAGGAGGTACATTTGGAAAATATAACAATTATAAAGAAGATGGTGATAGCCTTCCAAAGGAAAATGAAAATCCCTCATGGTGTGTATATAAGGTCCAGTATTTAAATGGATAATTAGTATGTCCACCACTTTCAGACATTCTAATTAAGGACACAGCAGAGAATGGTTCTGTTTCTTAGAAAATTGGCTGTCTATTGGCACTTCTACATTCTACATCAGACAGGCTGTCTGCTTACCTCCTACGCCAACCTCCCAAGCTGAGTCCTCTTTAAGAGCTTGGCTCATCCCTGTTCAGTTTTTTTGTTTTTTTTTTTTTTTTTACCCTTCACTTCATCAACTTCTCTAGGGTTTCCATAATTTTCAAAGATGATAAAATTTTAGTTTATTTTTCTGTCATCCATAACTGATGTCAGCCATCAACTTCTTATTTTCTTTGAGAACTTCCTCTTAAAGATCAAACATACACTAGGGGACAGTTCTACTAATGACATAAATGTAGCACTAGATCTCTGATGCAAATTTACTGGGAAAATCTTAAAACAAGATAATTGAAGAAGTAAGCATCTTTGTTTTGCTTTCTATCTCCTCTCCCTCTCCCCTACAGACACACACACACACACAGAGACACACACACTTTTATTTCATTTGATTTGTACCTTGTTCCTTTGTCTTAACTTCAGAAGCTATTGAAGATTGCTTGGATAACTTCAATAAATTGAAGTTCAATAAATTGTTGAATATTTTGCTTAAGCTATACTTTTGGTAATAATGCTTTATGGTAATGCTGTTGGTGGAATCATTTTAATATGTCCATTTTCACGAAGTAATGAGTAGGTTCCTCAATAGCTCCGAATTTAGCAGTTAAAAAGCAACAAAGACAACTGCCCTCAGTAGCAACAGTATTTACTACAAAAAAGAAAAGCCACTTGTTATTTGATTTAAAAAATGTTTAGTTCTTTAGAGCTTAAGCATTTGGATGGCATTCTCTTATATTTGCACTTTCCTTAACTTTAATTTTGGAACACCACTCTTCCTGTTAAAAAATTTTAAATGTGTGTATATATTTTGAAATACTTATATCACCTTCCATTATTAGAACTGAGAACATTAATGAAATTTAAAATGTCTTAGTTACTTGGTGAAGTGATAAGATCACACCAGCTGGTTTGCTTTGTTAACTTTTTAAATTATCCAGAAAAATCTTAACGTGAATCTAATAATATGTTTTATTACTGCTTTTGAATTTTTTTTAAATGTTAAGAGAAAAAAATGAGGTGATATGAACTTCCTATATTTGGCCAAAGGGTTCCACCCCAACCTTTAACACAAAAATAATTGCTGTAAACAAATGGTCAAGAGGGCAATTACCATCTTCCAGGCATCATTTCCTCCAATATAAGCTGCAGAATGACAGCATCATTAGTCATTTTCAATTATAGTCAGTCACAACCAGGGATGTTTCATTTTCCCAGCTGTTTTGTTGTTAATTAACTAGATTAAGCTGTTTTTTTTTTCCCTCCTGAGTTTGTTTTACTGCCAACATCAACATTTGAAATTTTGAAAAACTCTTTGGGTTTATTTTTTTTGCCTGATAATTCAAAATATATCACTCACAACAGATGTGCATCTGAAAATGTATATACGATATAGAAGGTCAAGGGCTGTCTTGTTGGTGAAAATGTTGCCCAGTTACATATTACAATTATAACAGTACTTGGATCTTTATAAATCATCTATCAGGCTATGATCTCATTTACATGGTGTAACTTTTTTTTTTTGGTAACATCAGAATCAATAGCAAGATAACAGATACGAGTCTATCCCCCAGAAGAACAGATCCATTTTGATTGACTCATTTGACAAACACAATTTCCATGTCAAAGGTAATAGAAACAATTCAGGGAAGAACTTTAGGGAGTAATAATATTAGAGAGATTTTATAATTTATTAATAGATGGGTATCAGAATTTCATTTTTTAATGCAAATAAGTTTTACAACTGAGTAAAATGTCTTGACCATGAGAGATTGAATCAGTGCTAATCACTTATGCTTGAATATAAGGAGAACCCCACTTTCCCACTGAGAAAATAAAATTTATAACAAATTTTTGAGCAATTGATAGAATCATTTAGGAATGTGGATGAGATTGTCAAATGCCTAGTTATATTTAATTTCTTAATTGATTATCACTTCCAATATTTGAAATCTCACATTTTATAAAATAACACACTA